ATGGCCTTACTTGAGCCATTTTTGTTGAAATTGCGTCCCAAAACCTCTTACTTGCTCTTTTCTTGTAATCTCAAGCATTAGTCACCTATAACTAAGTGATAATGACATGTTTTAACTAGTTATGAGTTCAATAGACAAGAATTGTAGAAAATAGGCATCATAGAAGCCAAAATGGCCTTACTTAGCCAATTTGGTTGAAATTGCGTCGTCCCAACACCTCTTACTTGCTCTTCTCTTGTAATCTCATGCATTAATCACCTATAACTACCCCCAATCATTATTATTTCACTTCTACTAACTCACGTTTTGTGTATTCTAAGTTTTGCAAGGGGCAAACGGGACTTCCATACACGAGCGAGGAACTCCATGTAATTCGGGAGATGTTGGCGACCTACATCACATTAAATTTGTAAATATCGTCATACAATTTTGTACAATATCATCATATCTCTTCATCAATCCTAGGCTTGGCTTAGCTTAGCTCATTAATTATGTATATTAGTATGCATGAAATATAATTCTAATTTATCATATTTATGTTTTAATTTATGTTTTAATTTGTTATTAAAGTTACTAATTATTGTTACTATTATCATATATAATAATAATAGTAATTATTATTATTATTATTACTAATTATTATTATTATTAATATAATAATAATAATATTGCAGAAAAAAAAAAAAAAAAAAACAGAACATTGGCAACGGTTAACCGTTGCCAACTAAATTAATTGGCAACGGTTTTGAACCGTTGCCAATTTTTTGGGATTTGGCAACCCCCAAATACTCAACGGTTCAAAACCGTTGCCTTTGGAGGGGTTTGAACCGTTGCCAATTTGCTTGTTTCGTGTAGTGTAATTTTGTGATTTACACGTATTTCAACTCCTAGTGTACTAATAACGAAAACATAAATTGTGCAGGGGCAGAAGATCAAGGTGACATCTGCCAATGACGGTATTTGCACTTGCTCCCAGGACCGATGTTGCCTTACATCACGGCATGGAAGGATGTCATTGGCGATGGTAACTGTGGATTTCTTTGTGTGGCCAACTTCTTTCTCGGAGATCAAGCGAACTGGTTTGACGCTCGGGAAATAATAGCGAATGAGGTCGCCGCTCACCCCTTCTTGTACGAAAGGATATACGGGATAGGAAGGGTGTGGCTGAATGTGGAACGCATTCGATGGGATGGTGGGGCTGTTGATTCACGGAACTAGATGGTTGTTATTCAAGATTGATTTCCTATTGCTATTTGGTTCAACACAATGGTTATTATTCTTGGTGTAGGTAACGTACTGACCTGCTATTACCCCTGCCTCACGATCTTACCGTTGCGGGCACGAAACGGGGTCAGAGCACTAGCCCGGGAATTTGTAATCGCTACAGTCGGGGGGGGTCACATTTCATCTGCATTGATCTAGTCAAAAATTCACCTTTTCCCCCGATCGCAGGATGGTGGACAGAGAACCACGAGCCAAGTGTCGATGGATGAGATCAGCAATATATCGCTAGAAGGAACATGTGGGATGCATTAGTTGGGCAGTGAACAGATTTATGTAATTAGGTTGAACAAATTTATGTAATTAGGTTGAACAGTTCTAGGGATGTAATATAAAGCAATCAATCAAAGTAATGATACAAAGTTGAAACAAAACCCGCAATTATATTAGTTTTTATTACAACACAAAGTTTCAAATGAACCAGCTAATAGTAAACAAAAAGACAAGTGGTTCACAACCACATCATCGTCTACCAGTCAAATATCAGCTGCTCAGTCATTGCCCTCGTGTCACGCGACATGCTGGGATACTCCGCCAGTGATCTGCGGTGAATCTCCATAGATCGACCCATCCACTGCAAATAAGAGAACAACACATTAGTTATATAATTCACAATTAGTGTAAATGGAATTTAAAGTATAATAAAACACAAGTGCTTACATAGTCCGTGTTAGTCCTCTCTGGAAGTCTGTCCCCCCCAGCTGATGACCCACCCAGAGAAATACGAGGATGAGAAAATCGGTAGAGCCACTGCATGTAACCAGGACCGACCGTAGGAGCTCCACCGCCGAGTCGGGTGAGGGCACCTAGAACAACACTGAAAGACGAACCGGGGACAAACCGAGTCCACATCACTGATGTCATCTCTGTCGGAAACTCTACCCGATACATCTTCAAGTTCATCGGTCTCTTAGCCTTCTCAGGCCTGATAATGGTCCTCGGAATGTCCTGCACAAATCCCAGTTGTCGAACGACTCGATCAGGCATGTATGGCTCAATGGTACTTTGATACTGGATGCAACCAATAAATAAAGTGGGTGGAACACGTCGTGCCGGATCAACTCCGTACAGGAGCCAGTTAACCTCATTGTCGGTCAGCTGATCCAATCTAGCACGAAATGCGAGGAGGCGCTCCATGCTCTTGTTAGGGCATCCCGGTCCCACATCCCAAGCCGAGGCACGCGGAATACTGAGCTCCCTAGTCAAGGTAACCTACTGAGGCCGGAAGCACGGAAAGTACTCGTAGATCCACGCCTGCAGAAGCGTGAAACAACCAGCGATAGAATCGACATCTTTTCTTGATGTCGTACCCAACTGCCGATACAAATACGCTAGAACAGCTGAACCCTAACAGTACTCATTGATCGGCAGAGTATCCACAACAAGCTCGCTGAGGAAGGACGGATGAGTACGGTTACCACTCTTGTCCAAAAACGGACATCCGCCTAGCACTAACCACATGTAGGCACTGTAATGGACACTAAAAGGCCTTTGCGACTCCAAGGTCGAGTCCACAATCCTCTCTGTTAGCACCCCACTACCCTGCTAGATGGTCTTCGTACCGCACTTCTCATTCAGCTCTTCTGTAGTCAAGTCCATGGTAACCGAGCATGCGTCCCGTAGGGTGTCCGTGCTAGGAGTAGTGGATACCATGCCACCATCTACACGAAGCCCTAGAATATGGTACACATCGTGCAACATGATCGTGATCTCCCCAAATGGCATATGGAACGTGTTCGTATCTGGTTGCCATCTCTCAACAAAAGCTGAAATCAACGGCCAATCAAAACGCCTGAACATGATCCCAGGTAAGTGAGATAGACCACTACCGTCAATCAACTCCTGATGCTCCTGTGCAAGACGACCTCGCCAGGTGATCAATTCAGAACACAACTGTGTCCTGCTCAAACAGTGCAAAACATTACGCTCCTGCCCACCCCATATATACGCAGCCACGTGCCCCCCCAAAACTAGGGATAACGGGCCCATCCTCATGACCTCCTGGCATCGGCTCCGCACTACCCATGCCTCTGCTGGGCTGGTGGAAGGCTGACTGGTTTGACTATTATTGACAAATCTCTCAATCTGACCCCTATACACCGTATGATAATCCGGAGGGTCATACTCTTCATCGCGGGAAGCCTGACTTGCCTGCTTGTCGTCCTCATCGTCAGATGAAGGCACTCCACCCGACAGGTACATGGGGAGGCTGCGTTGTGGTTGATGCTCCCCCGACCAGTTACCAGCAGACCCATATTGCTGCTGGTGATCAAACGGTTCGACCGTATTTCCTAAACGGCCTGACTCCTGCCTAACTGACGCGTTCAAACGTCTAGATACTGCGTGATGAGCTCCCGAACCCTCAATCTATATTAAATACGTACAAAATCACAAACAAAAAAAAATTCCCAAGCAAAAACATAAAAATAGATAAACAAACAAAAAATCATAAACAAAAAAAAACATAAACAACAAAAAAAAATTAACAAACAAAAACAAATTATACAAACAAAAAAAAACCTCACAAAAAAAAAAAGATAACAAAAAAAATCATAAATAAAAAAAGTCACAAACAAATAAAACAACAACACTACTAATTAATTACAATAACAACACTAGTAATAATACTAATTACAAAGCCTAATTATAATAATAACGTTACTACTAACAATAACAATTATAATAATATTATAATTAGAACAACAACAAGTACAACAACATCCACAACAACAACAACAACAACAACAACAACAACAACAACTACAACTACAACAACAACAACAAATTAAATAAACAACAACAACAACAACAACAACAACAACAACAACAACAACAACAACAACAACAACAACAACAACAACAACAAATTCTGGAAATGAAAAAAAAATTAAATAAGAACCGAGAAAAAAAAAACCGAAAAAAAAAAATTCTGGAAACGGGACATCTGCCTGAAATTTCCGGATGTTCCATGGCGGATGTCCCCTTTCCAGATTTTTTTTTTGTTTCTTCGTTACCTGCTCGCCGTCGACACCACCGCCGCCACGACCGCCATATGTAACCCTAATCCGCCGCCAGTCAGACATTGCAAGGCCTTTGGAGTGTTGTTGTTTTTGGTTTTTTTTTTTTTTTTTTTTTTGAGATTTTCACAATTTTTTTTTCAGATTTTGAAAAAAAAATTCTAAATCTGATTTTTAAGAAAAATCTGATTTTAGAGGGAGATTACAAATTTTAGAGAGAGAAAATTTTAGAGAGACAAATACGAGCGTGACATGTGTAGTCCGTGAGTCTCGTGACTATTTATAAGCGAGGGGCAAATTAGGAAATTCATGTCCAAATAGCGAGCGACGACCAGTAAAATGGGAACGACGAATAACAACTTTGGCATGGAAATCGATAATAATTTTCACAAATAAGGATCTGAACGATTTTTTTGACGGAAAGTGTCAAATAGTGGGGTAATCTATGTTTTTATTTTTGGTCTTTTTTTAGGTGGTATTTTTTAAAAAAAATGAATAGTTTTTTCAAAAAGTAGTTATTTTTGGGTTGTAAAGTCTTTTATATAATTTAAGAGTTAGTTTTGTAACCTTTAACCACAACACTTGAAACCCACAATTCTCAAAATCTAAGCACTTTTTTTTTTTTTTTTTTTTTTTTTTTTTTTTTTTTTGTAATAACCTTTAAATAACTTCCAATTCTCAAAAAAAAAAAAAAAAAAAAAATTCTACAGCTTCCACTTTTACTATTTTTCTTTTTTAAATATACATACTACATATAATCGTATGTATATTGTGTGCGTTAGCACGGATACAAGAGTTTTTTTCTAACTTCTCACTAAATTCCTCCAAAATTCCAATCCCGCTATTTTTGTGCACTCCTTTTTTTTTTTTTCAATAACCTCCAAATAACTTCCTTTCTCCAAAAAAAAAAAAAAAAAAAAAATCTATTACTTTCACTTCTACTATTTTCTTTTTTCTAACTATACATACTACGTATATTATGTGCATTAGCACGGATGCACTCTAGTACAAATAAACCCAAAGACTAAGGTGAACTAAAAGGGCAGTGCCTTGGCATGCTTCGAAGGGGCAATAGGCCAATAGCCGCGCTAAATATGAAATTCAAAGAAAAATACATAAAGCTTCTACAGTTCTACTTAAACAGTTAAACTTTTCCCACTTCAGCTAGACATTTTCACAAACACCTGGTGAGCATCCAAAACTCCTTTATCTCTCTAAAACCTCCATAATCTGCAATGAAGTTCAAGGCATTCCTGACAGAAAATGGAGTAACCCTTTTAGAGAGAAGATTCATCCCTGCCTTTGAAAAATGGGGAAAATCTGCCATGTTTATCTGACCAAAGATCACACCTTCTTCCTCCACAACCTCCTTACCAATAATGGTGTTCAATCAATTGCCCAATTCAGGATTGATGCTTTGTTCTCTGATTACCACATTACCAGCCAAAGCGAGGATCGTATCGCCTTCTCCCTCGATCTCTCTCTCCTCCTCCGCGCCCTCCGATCAGCCGCCGCAATCTCCTCCGCCGTTGATCGACTCCAAATTAAGCTTGTCAAGAAATTACCCCCAAATTCTACCAACCCAATGCCTTTTCTGACATTTGAGACTAAAGGGTATGCTTCTGCTGTGATTCAGGACATTCCAATATCGAAACCCCTTTCGAGGGCTCATGTTTTAGAGCTCCAAACTGCTCTGGATGATGCTCAAGATCTACCAAGAACCCTAGTTGGGGTTAGTGAATTGGATAGTTTGCTGAATTTTGTTGAGAGGATGAAGCAATTGGGTGATGAAATGGGGGTTGAGATTGGTAAAAATGGGGAATTGGGGTTGAAGGTTTCAAGCAGTTTGGTTAATTTAGGGGCAGAATTTAAGAGATTGATGATTATTGGAGAGGATAGTGAGCAGATTAATGGTGATGGTGGGATGAATGTGTTGGTTAGTATGAAGCACTTTGTTAAGTGTTTGCAGTGTCATTTGGCTAAACCTGATTGTGCTTTCTATGGAGTTGGGTCTCAGGGTGGTTCTTTGACTGTTGTTTATCAGTTCTTCGTTCCGGGGTCGAGGCAGACTGATAAGTCCATTAGCTTCCATTGTAGGCTTCCAGTGCTTGATCCTGGTTCTTGAGTGCATATTATAACCCTTTCAGGTTTTGACATTTCTGGTTCATCTGTAAGTTTACTGGATTCGGAATTTGTTTTTTAGTCCCTAAGAGTACAAATTGTTGGATGTTGCAACTTTGATATGCAAAGTGTGGAATGTTTGTTTCAGTGTGTGTTTATTCTCGTTTATATTTAGAACTATGTTTAGGAAAACACGACGTAATCTATATAAAATCAGATGGTGTGATAGCCTTCTTTGTGACCCCATGGATTACTACTGTCCAATGATGCAAGTGCTTCATATACTGTGTATCTCAAAAGCACAAAATGAAAAATAAATTTAGTACGACAATAAGAATTGACCACTTCTGGTGCAAGAACATAATAGTTCTTCGTATGAGAATATCACTGACTATACGTTCAAGCTTCATCATCTAATGATGCTGTTTCTTACTCAACCAAGGCAAAGAAAATTCCAAACTAACACTGAATAAGATTGTGCAAGAGTTGGAGATTCCTTAGCGTTAACTGCTTTGATGCTTTTTCTCCCCTGTGTTATTTTTAAGAGGCTTCAAATCAGGTTCCGAAGCTTGATTCTGTATCAATATCAGCTAAAAGGGATCAAAGCATGCCCGCAAAATGTATTAAAAACAATAAAACAAACTGTGAAGCATATAAGAGCTCGAAAGAATAAAAGCATGGACAATAAGTCCTATAAACTCTAAATTCATGGCTAAATGTGGACAAAAAGTGCATTCAGAAAGTGTGAACAGAACCAATCATCAATCTTACTACTAAAATTACTGTTCTTTGCGTATCATTCTGCTTGTTGGCCCTTGCATGCAGGGACTTGCTTCCAACGTATCCACATTTGCATATTGTAACAAGTCATTATCTGAAACTTTCAGTTGCTGATGAGTGCTGCTACACTTGATGCGAAAGATTTTTATCAGTACTTGGAGGCTGTCCCATCATCCGTATGTCCGAACTCACTCATGCATCATGTGGTTGTTGGTTCTTCGTTCCAAGGCTGAGGCGGACTACTAAGTACTAACTACCATAGGGACTTGTAAAAATTGTTCGTCCCATATATGTTTAATGCGGATTAATACAGTGTGAGGTACTACTAACTACCATAGGTAGTTATAAAAATTGTTATTCTACTACGAAGTAAAATAATTTGTTTAATTTTAGGCCTGCAATTATTTTAGAATACATTGACACTACTCGTAGTTGATTCGATTAGAATTTATTAGTATTATAATTCTACCTACAGAATAGTATCTAGGAAAATGAAAGCGGGAAAGTGGAACGCACGTATAATAATTAAACAAATTTGGAGTGAAAAAAAATGATATAATCATGTAGATTCATATCCATTATTTAACAAAGCTGGCCTGCTACAGCTAATTCATTAATGTAAAATTTAATAGTACTAGTAATTGCCTAATTGGAATTGTTTATATATTAATCAAACCCCTTAGCTTGGCCTATATATGTGGTTGATCCAATAATCCCGCCAACTTCAATTCATTCAACTCTATCAATGTATTTATATAAATATAAGTACACAAAATGAGTAATTGTTGTTTGGTGTTGGTATATCCTTGATGATAGCCATGGTTATGCTAGTTACGCCCTATATCGTATAGTCAACAAACTCTGCACGTGTACGTAAAGATGGCACTAGGTCGGGCCAGCCCAAGTCCCCGTCACGGCCCAACACGAAAAAGCATGGCACGGTGTAGGCACGGCACAACACGTTACAGTGCATATTGGGCCGAGGGCCGAGCCTGAGCCGCATTTATTTGGGAGAAGCACGATAAGGCACGACACGACAAAGGACGCTAAAATCAATGAAATTTTGCTTAAGCACACAAGCCCGACACAGTCCAGCACAATGGCAAGTGGGCCTAGGCCATGCACGGGTCAACCTTTTGAAAATTTCGACACGCCCCGACAAGGCACAAAACTCATGAGCCGGGCCCAACTAACTCCAAAGTACGTGGGCCTGACACGAGGTATGATTCGGCACGGCCTAGAGCCATCTTTACGTGGTGCTAAAGATGGTACTGGGTCGGGTCGGCCTAAGGCTCGTCACGGCCCAGCACGAAAAAGCAAGGCATGGCACGAGCATGGTGTAGGCATGGCACAACGTGTCAAGTCGTGGGCAAGGCCTAGGCCGCCTTTTTTGGGAGAAGCACGATAAGACACGGTACGACTTGGTCCGGCACGACAAAGCACGCTAAAACCAATGAAATTTTTCTTAGGCACGCAAGCCCGGCACGGTACGGCCCGATGGCATGTGGGCTTGGACCGTGCATGGGCCAACCTTTTACAAATTTCGGCACGGCCCAACATGGCTTGAAACTCGTGGGCCGAGCCCAGCTAAGTCCAAAGCATATGGGCGTGACACGAAGCACGACCCGGCACGGCCTAGAGCCATCTTTACGTGGTGTACATATACCCGCTAAATGTTTGAAGGAGACCGAAGAGAAGGAGCTTATGGTGTAAAACTTCTCAACAACAGGCAACCACTATTGTCGTCAGTGCCAAGGGGAAAACTGTTGATACAGCTTCGAATCTACTTCATACTTCGATGATGTATGGTCGAGCCGAATATAATCTTTGCAATCGCATTATTATTATTATTATCTTTGTTGTTGTTGTTGTGTACTTTTATTATGATTTATTGTTGTTATTATTATTTTATTACTAAGTACTATTATTGTTATAATAAGAAAGTGTGCAGTAAGTAGTTGCATGGAGAGCAAATCTCCCGGCAAATTAGACTAAAGCATAGGGATATAACAGAATCATTGTTCAGAAATTCATGAAAATGTAAACATATATTGGCTTCAATCATACTCGTATGAACATAAAAATAAACAATGAACGAATTTAAGGCCATAAGACTCGTGCATAAATAATCAAGAGCAAATTGTGTAATGGCTAGACTAGTTCACTAATCCTACCTTGCTATTCTTATGTTCTCTATATTGAACGCAAAATTTCAACTCATTAAACAACTCTTCATTAGTAGCTTCTTTCCCAGTAATGATAATAGACATATCTTCAATTATGGGTTTCGTCCACATATAGCAAGGCGCAGTACAACAGCAACAATACCCCAATTCCTCCGTAAACTACCGCCTTCGTGGGAGAAGAGGGGGAGAGGCAAGGATGAAATTCTGCAACCTTTCATCTTACATTGAAAGAGGCTATTTCATTTCAGTATGATATGCCAATTCACAATTAATGAGAGTTTGAGGAGCCATTTTAATACATTCTGTGATAAGTAAAAGACTAAAACTAACCATATAAAAAAGGAAAATTTGTCAGAAAGATCTTTTAGATAGGTTTTTTTGTTGTAAAGTTCCTTTTATAAAAAAAGTGGCGCAAAAGGTCATTTTATCACACTTAGGTTGTGGCGAGGTTCCTTTGACCGGATTCTAGCCATTGACTTAATTTTTTCCGACCAAAAAAGTCACGTGCACCACTTAAAATCCTATTTTTTTCCCCATTTACCCCCTGGCCTGGTTCGATTTGTCTTCAAATGCCTTCAATTTTAATGTGAGGGACTAAAATTGGAGTTTGATGATTTTTTTTTCACAAAATAGCATTCGCATTGAGGTTGATGATGAAGAAATTAGGGTTTAATAAAGGGAAAAGAGGGTAACAACCCCTAGGATCTGAGGATACCCGAAAACCTAGACCTCAATAAAGACCTGCTTAGACGCCTCTTACCCAGACCCTTTTTTCTTTTAGTAAGGAACTTGCTTTACGACTTAAGGTCTCTTGTCTCTGGCAACGGAGTTCTTCTTTGCATTCTCTTCTTCGATAAAGTCACCGAGTGATAAAAATTCCTCTTCATTCTGTTGTGCTCAGTGTCGGATTCAAACTTCTTTGTTCTTTTTAAGTCTTCTTTTTGCATAGAAGAATGTAACTTTTGCAAAAACCGGTCTTTTAGTAGTAGGTGGCATTCCTTCATGCTTCCTCATTTCTCAATATCAGTATCACACATTTCTTTCTTAATTAAAAGAAGTTCTTTGTTTGATGTTTTGATGATCTATACATAGGCGTTGTTGTATTAAAAGAAAGGAGAGTGAGTTCCGACTGAATGAGCTGATATGAGCCCAGCCAAGATAAACCTCCTCTTTGAGCCTAGAATTGAATGGCAAGACTCAATGAATCCAGAAAGAAAGAGGGCACGTAAGGCACGACAGCTTCCTCTCGCGCTCGCGACGATCGAGAAGAAGGTTCGAAGGAGGCCGAGTAGTGAGATGCAATTCGCATCCGTTGGTAGTTCGGCTTGGTAACCGTGTTGCGGCCACTAGATCATAAGACCTTAGGTGCACCTGAGCACGATAGCGTCATAAAACGGGGTTAACTACCCCAGGGGTGGACGTTATTGCGAACCACCTGATTACCAGTAAAAAAAACATTCTATTGAATTAATATATTTCTCTATTATTTTTTAATACATCCTCAAAAGAGGAAAAGCTCCCTAACCTTAATAATACAAGAAGGGTATGAGAGGTTTGTTAAAACCTCTCAAGCAAAAAAATGGAATGAGAGACTACGAAAGTGAGTCAAACCCACAGAGAAGGAAAGAAAAAGGATTTTAAATGGTCACGTGCAAGGCACGTTACTTTTTTTTGGTCAGAAAAAAAAAGTCAATGGCCGGAATCTGGTCAAAGGACCCTCGCGCCACTAGTAGAAAAATGCAAATGGGAAGCGGTTTGGACCCCTAATGGGAAGCGGTTTTGAACCGCTTCGGCTTGGGGGGCTCGCCAATGTCCATTTAAAAGGGAAGCGGTTCAAACCGCTTCCCATTGTTAGGGAATGGGCAGCGGTTTTGGCGCCAAACCGCTGCCTATTCCCTTTTTCATACATGATATGAAAATGGAATAGGCAGCGGTTTTGGCGCCAAACCGCTGCCTATTCCTATTTTCATACATGATATGAAAAAGGGATTAGGAAGCGGTTTGGCGGGCCCTTTAACCTTTGATGATTTAAAAAATTATTATTTGAAATAATATAATAATTATATTAGTGACCGTATAAATATTATTAGTGACCTATAATAATAGCTGTAACCTGTCACAATAATTTTAATATTATTAATTAATAATAAAAATAATATTATTAATTAACAATTAAATTAATATTATTAATTAATAATAATATTAATATTACAAACAATAATACATTGGTGTATAACAATGAAATAATTATATATATATAAAAATACTAAGATATCATTTACAAATACTACGTACTACTTATCAATTAAAGTTAATATCTAAAAAACATATATAAATATAACTACGTACTTA